CTAATTGTCGAACTATTTTTTCTTAGTTGGTATGATTGTCAGTGGTATCTGTGCCAAATGTCTCATCAAAATAATCTTTCGTGTTTAGTATACGCTGATCTTACTGAAGTACATAAACTGCATTCGGTGATTTTTATTCAAAAAAGAAGTTCCATTTAATTTTGTGTGCGGAATTAAATTTTTGGTGCCGAACCGTTGAGAATGTTGAAAATTTTTAGATAATTGTTTGTCGCAAGGAGGTGTACTTCATTGGTACAAATTATTCAAAGAGGATCGAGAACGCGTTGATGACGACCAAGTCCTGGACGGCCATCAACATCAACTGATAATCAACACGTCAATAATGTAAAGGGTTTTTTGCTTGAGAATCGACGATTAACAGTCACGAGATTTTGCTGACACCGTTGGAATATTGGAAGGATTAGTGAAAACCATTTTGAAAGATTATTTGAGCCTTCGGAAAAATTAAGAAGTTAACGTCTGTGAAACAATGCTTTCCGACTGCTAGGAAATCATGTAACGTACTATAACTGGCGATAATTCTTGGATGTATGCTTACGACCCGGAAAAAGACGATCAATCGGCCGAATGACAGAAGTGAGCCAAAGCCGAAACAACCACGTTAAAGCAGGTCAAAAATCAAACTGTCAACAAGGAATACTATTTGAGTGTTATGCTTCGTTTGCGCGAAGCTATCCGTAAAATTAGGTGGGAATTGTGATCCACCAACTCTTAGTGTTTGCACCATTCTAAGTGAGTTTTTCGCCAAATTTTCAACCAATGTAGTGCCACAACCATCGAATTCGCTGGATTTAGCTCCGTGTGACTTCTAGCTTTTCAGCAAACTCAAACGGCCGGTCCAGGGAAACCGGTTTGAGTCAATAGAAGGCATTGAACGTGAATCACTACGCGCCTTGGAGGCTATTCCGGAAATGGTTTTTAACAACTGTTTCGAGGATTGGCTGTTGGCATAAGTGTATTGAGACCAAAGGGGATTACTTTGAGGTGAGGGCGTAGCTATTGAAGAATAAATCAAGAATTTTAAATTATGAACAAAGTCTTACTATTTTTTGCTCATAATAATATACTGTAGATTGGATATCTGTATTAACTACAGGGACTGATTATTTCATTTATTCTATTCTATTTACTTTTTTCTTTCTTTTGTTTTTTTTTTTACAAATTATTTACAATATTATTGTAAATTATTACACTTTAACTATAAAGGTTTTCGGTTCGACTCAAAAATATGTCCGTCGATATTTCTGCCTGTATATACGCGAACTAGTCCTTCAGCTTTTGAGATAGATGGTCCGAAATTTTGTACACGTTCCATTCTCCCCAATAAACTGCTCGTAAACCACTCGAGAATTCGTCCAATAGGTTACCCAGAAAAATAGTCTCATACCTTTATGTTAACACAACCGGACTTATTATTCAGTTCTCTGCCTTGTACGCTCACCCGTCTTATCACTTGTCCCAACCTTTTGATAGTGTCATTTGATTCATTCGAAACTAAAATAAATTTTCTGTTTTTGTTCTCTGACAAACTTTTGCCTGACCTTTAAATCTATGTTGTTCAAATGAATGAAGACCATCGGGTAAATAACAATACTCAATTCGAACGGCTTATTATTGTTTATTCACTAGAATAGCAATAAATACTTATCTAATGTAACGCTGGACAGTTGAGCGGTCAGAAATATGTGCTTTAAATTTACCCAATACATATTATATTACTTAAAAATAAGTTTATGTTAAGGTGATTTTGTAAAATGTAAAAAAAAAAATTAAAAAAAAAAGTGTTCAAGTTATTGGAAATACAATATAATAGAAATTAAAAACAAAAAGCAATTGGGCTCAACCGGGATTTGAACCCGGGACCTCTCGCACCCAAAGCGAGAATCATACCCCTAGACCATTGAGCCGTCTCTAACTAGTCTGCCGAATAACAGTTTTATGCCGTAAACTGCCGAAATTACAAAATATATTTTATATTGAATTAAATTCGGTTTTTATCTAAATTTATAAAATAAAAGTACAAATAAATTTTCTTTAAATGAATAAGAAGCAATATTATAGTACATATTTTTTTAGTATAGATCATACAAAAGCTTTTTCTTAATGTTGCTAGATTAAACCTCAAAGCGTTGATATTGCATACTTTTAGGCTGAGTAGAAAAACATGTTGATAATGCAGTGCCGGGACATCACGATGAAAAATTTATCATATTAGTAGTGCCTTATTCTAAGAAAGAAATACATACATTGGTAAAGAGTAATTAATATTTGTTTTGTTTACTTTTAATTGACAATGTAATACCGAAAGTCGTATTTTCGGAGAAAAATATTGTACTCGTCTACATTAGTTTTGTTGCCCTGAATATAAGATCGGGTTTTGAAACGTTTGTGGTCACAATTCATGGCATAAGATTTGCTTTTGTGTATTGTTAAATCTTTATGCTCATTTTACATTACAGAAAACATGTTGCCAAAACAACAGATATACATATATATAAAATATGTTTAGTTCTGGAAGCTTAGCATGCATCAAACAAAGTAAACAGAGATAAATGTGACGAAAGCTATGTTTTATCTAGATTAATCGCATTTTATTAGTTCTTCCTTTATAAATTTCTAGTTAACAATATCATTTTAAGGATCAGCAGTAATATGTTATACATCAAAGGAACAATCCAATCAATCAACCTTGATACTTTTCTTCCATCACATTTAGAACCTAGTGCAACAACTCTTTTGTTTCTCGAAGTAATTATCTAAATTATATGGAAATTTATCCAAATGATTGCGATTATAATCTAACTTGACACTCATATTTACTCTTAAAATCTTTAAGTTTTTCAACATATTTTATACAATTTGGAGCTTTATAGATACCTAGGCAAGTTTGGACTATCGCCACAAAATTTTTACAACTTTCCGGAAGTTTGATCAAATCTCCAACCATCTATGCTAAGTGAGGAAATTTTCTACAAATGACAAGCTTTAACAAAATTTGTTTCTAACAGTCCTAACTTAGTCATGAATAAAATCACTGAGTTCATTTTGAGAAAATAACTGTGGTATAGATATTTAATTTTCTGGTTCTTCGGCAACATCATTATTTCTGAGTAGTTCATGCAAATTATTTTTGAAACGAAAGCGAAATTTCTAATGAGCAAAGCAACACATTTTGTAGAATGTACTTCTAGATATCTCTAGGTTTGAGTTTTCTTCTTCTTAATTGGCGCAGACACCGCTTACGTGAGTATAGCCGAGTTAACAACGGCGCGCCAGTCGCTTCTTTTCGCTTCGTGGCGCCAATTAGATATTCCAAGCAAAGCCAGGTCCTTCTCCACCTGGTCCTTCCTCTTTCGCTGCTTCCCCCGGCGGGCACAGCGTCGAATACTTTCAGAGCTGGAGTGTTTTCCTCCATTCGGACAACAACCAGCGTTGCCGCTATCTTTTAATTCGCTGAACTATGTCAATGGCGTCATATATCTCATACAGCTCATCGTTCCATCGAATGCGATATTCGCCGTAGCCAACACGCAAAGGACCATAAATCTTTCGCGGAACTTTTCTCTCAAAAACTCGCAACGTCGACTCATCCGTTGTTGACATCGTCCAAGCCTGGGGCGATGAATGACTTATAGAGTTTGGTTTTTGTTCGTCGAGAGGGGACTTTGCTTCTCAATTGCCTACTCACCGAAGTAGCACCTGGCATCCTACGTTCTAAGATTATTAATGTCCTTGAAAAGCTACTGCTTTGATCTGTTGTTGTGCTGTATTCTTGCGTTTTTTTTTTTCGATTACAACATACACGATTGCTTTTAAGCTTTGATTGTTTTATTATTGGGCAAAAACATTTGCCTACAATCACAACGATCGTCTTCACGTTGACAAAACGTGATGCCGTTCGATGACATATGGTCTCAGAAGCAGCTCCACAATTGGTTGATTCTGGAATAGCATCATAACAAGATGAAAAAAGTTGTGACTAACGATGGACATCTCAGATGGTTCATCCGTCTAATTTTCGATGGCTTGCTCGCGTACTTCGACTGTTAACTGGCGAAGGATAGTTTTGTTCGCAAGCCCTGAATCGATGCGGGATTGTCCCCATAGACTCTAAACTAAACTAACTAAATAAATGTCAGGCATCAAATAGTCGATTATCATGACGTGATTAATAGTCGTGATTGACGGTTACGTCCGCCGAATCGATTCTCCACGGCCTTCGGGTACACTCTCAGGTACGCGAAGCGCGCGAAACACATTCTTTACATAATGTGAATTTTCGTAATAAAATTGAATAGGTTGACACGACTCATGCGTGATCTCCCAAAAAAAGCTGTTAACCTCTACTTGGAACATCTGTTATAATATATAAACGATTTTTTTGGTTTATTTTTCTGTTATCACAACATTTTTGAGTACCACTAATCAATGCGAATATTCTTGAAAGGGTGTAGTTTTTCTTTTTGAATTGTAGCATTATTAGTAAATAATAAAAAATTGGTTTATAAAAGTAATTTTTAATCGAAAAAAATTTACTTCAAACAATATTTATATTATACTCGTATAATAGTAGCACTATTTTAAAATATATAAACAATTGTGTGTGAAAATAGTTTACATAAATTAAAAGTCCGAAAATAAAAGCATTTCTTAATTACTGGGCGACAAGAGGAAATACGAGTTAACTTTAATCAGGCGGCTCAATGGTCTAGGGGTATGATTCTCGCTTTGGGTGCGAGAGGTCCCGGGTTCAAATCCCGGTTGAGCCCAGCTAGATATTTTTGTTCAAAAGAAAATAAAAAAATGTGGGGCCTTCAACTCTTGACATAATTGTTGGCCAAAACGGAGTAAAGGCGTTTAAAGAAAAATAATAAAGTTAAAAACAAAATGTTTGCGCGCTCATTAAGCTTTATTTCAAATCAGATAAAGGCTTAAACTTACTAACTGCAGAATAGTTTAAACAATGAGAGTAGCTTAACTTAGAATATAAATTAAATGCAATGAAACTACAAAGTGACAAAATTAATGAAAAGAGAAAGGAAGTGGTGTGTTTATATAGACATTATGTGCATTTAAAGTTAAAGTATATAAATACTAAATATTTATACATACAATATTATGTATCTGCGTGTTAATGCAAGCAGTTGACCGCGATGGAAGACACATTGATTACATTGCTATATAACTATATACAAATTCACTAAAAATAATATTAAATATTTTTTTGTTTGTAATATTAACCTAAAAACTAAAATTACCTTTTTATATTACACACTTTTATGCTAAATTTCTGGTTTTATAATATTTTACATTAGAAAATATATAGACAATACTAATTTATTTACTAAAAAAATAGTTTATGTGCCTTTACATATTTATAGTTCCAGTTTATGATTAGAGCACTAAATATACACTTAATGTCCTTAAAATATATTCTTAGCATATTTTGTAACTGCACTTCTCAAAATTGCACCGAAATAGGATAGCAACATTTTCGAATTTCATTTTAATACTATGCACCGTTGGATATTTTGTCACTCAATAATTGAAATCGAAATTTGTTTAACTTAAATAACCCTCATAGCCCACAAATTTACGCCAAAGCGCTCATCCCTCAGTGGTTTTTCATCTGGTAATGCTTCCACACATTTTACTCTCATTTGTCCCTTTTCTCTCTCTCTCTTTCTCTCTCTCTCTCTCTCTCTTTCATCTTTTCTCACTCACTCTTCCTTCTTTTCTCTATCTCTCTTTATCCTTCTCATATTTTCTTTATTCATCTCTTTATTCATCTCCTCAAGCTTCCCTCTTTATCTTCAACTTTATATCTCCCTCTCCTCTCCTTCATTGTCTGAATATCTCTTTCGAGCTCCTTTTTTTTTTACTATCTTTGCTGTCACCCACTTCCGTTTAATTGAAGATGTCATCGACCAGCTCCTTTGTAATGATGCGATGTGGTCGTGTCGGATTCACCTTTGGGCGTTGGTAGAGTCGTGCATTGATAGCGTAAAGACGTGGCGACAGATCACAGCGGACATTGAACCACCAGTCGCACACGAAGACGGCTTGTGAAAATTGTGTGCCATTTGGGCATAAGAAGGACGCTTGTCGACCATCAATGTCGCAATAATGCCAACCTGTAAAGAAAAGATATATAAAAGATTGGCAATTTATTTTTATTAATCCTGGCATTTACCTTGACACCTGGTTTCCATATCGGCGAAAAATCCCGGATATGGCTGCTCATCGCAGTAGAAATTTGTGTATGGTATCGCTGAGAGTATGGGATAGTCGACACCGGGACGGCCTAGAATAAATGGATAGTGTCGGGTTATAAAACAACATATGTTTTAATATACGCATTTACGAATACAAAATATTATAAATAACTAATATACTTAACAGACGAGTTTCTATTGTAATTATCATTCTAAAATCAGTTTTTAAAGCGCTAATTTTTTTTCGGGATTTACAGTTTAAAATGTCAAATAGTCTAGAAATTCAGGTTTAATGCTTCGAAAAGAGTGGATATCTTATCGTAGATCTAATCAAAAATTGTCTGAGTATATTTTTAAATCAATTTAACCCTCTAACGTGCCATTTTGACCATTTCTTCAGGAAAATCAATCCAACCATTGAAAGTTTTAGGATACATATCTACAGATAAAGGATGACCCATTTCGATGTTGCCAACTTTTTTAAACAAACAACACAGAAAATTGCACCGAGATCACGAGCTTCAAATTCAGGCATCAAATAATCGGTTAACATGGCGCGATAACAGTCGCCATGGGCAGTTACGTTCTCACCGGCTTTTTTTTTTTAAGAAATATGGACCGATGATTCCACCGACCCACAAAACGCACCAAACCGTTATTTTTTCTGGATGAAAAGGATTCCTCTCTGTCGCAAACGCGGCAATTTTTCTTGTTTAAATACCCATTGAGCCATATATGGGCCTCATCGCTAAACAAAATTTGGCGCAAAAACGTCGGATCTTCTTGGAACTTTTCAAGAGCCCATAAACCGAGGTGATGTCACTTGGGAATGTCGAGCGGCTTTAATTCTTACACAATGTTGAACGATTTTTAAACGCCGTTAAGACGTACGTCTTTCCATGATGAAATTACAAACAGTACTGAACAAAAATGACATGACAGCTGGCACGACTCACGCGTGATCTGTCAAAAAAAGGATATTGAGGAAAGAGCCTCTACTTGAATCTATCGAACATATTTGTATATTGCTAACGGCGCCATATGTGAAATGTTTGGCCGAAAAGGAAGCACCCTATATTATTATAAGAACGAAACACATCTTCACCTTCAGAGACACGAAACGCATATGAGACCAATAGTTTCAGAAAGTGGAAACAAGCATGCTTTTGTTTATGAATTAAGTTGGTATTTGTTGCTAACGGTTATACCACCAAACAGATACATATCAAGTGCCATAACTTTATCAAAACGTACATTTGTTAAAACGAACGAAGAAGAGACCAAAAAACAAGTTTAAAAACATGAAGTTTCACTTTTTAATTAATGCACCAACAAATACAGATAAATAAACTATTGCGTGCATGGCAAAGTCAGCAAAACTGTTGGTGAAGATGAGTACCAACGAAGGCAGAGATTCGAGCTAAAAGAAAATGCAAGTTGGTCTAAATTAAGCGGCTCAATGGTCTAGGGGTATGATTCTCGCTTTGGGTGCGAGAGGTCCCGGGTTCAAATCCCGGTTGAGCCCATACAATTCTTTTTTGAACTCATATTTTAAAAATTACTTATTTATAAAGACCCGAGTATAAAGCTCTTAGTGACCTCTGTACCACAAAAGTGCCGACTGAATCTTGTATAAATCCTTATACCCTGAACAGAGTATACTACCTCCCGTAACAGCTATACCGCAGATATGGGACCGAAGTTAGGGTTTTTATTACAACATTGAATAATTTATATATTTTTCTGAATTTAATTATCTTTATTACACATAGGACCCTCACCATGTTCTACCACCTTGGAGGTTAAAGCTTTTTGGCAGAATCTCCGCTTCAAGAGCCGTCTCATTGAGTGTAGTCATTACTCCATTTTACTGCATTTAAAGTTAAACCTGAATGACCTTTACCTGATTTTTCCCCCTCAGTTTTTTTTTATAGCTTTTTGGCAGGAGATATTTATGCGTTTTGTTCTCGGACCTCCAGGCCGATTTCAGTTGTTTTACTCGGCGAAAGTGCTGCCTATATTTACTCCCGAAAGCCAAATTCATGAGTATATTAAGTTGTAATACAGTTGAACTTCAATAACTCGAATCACAATACTCTACACACACAAAAAAAAACGTTTATTTAGAAAGACTTCGAGCCTTACTAAGGGCAAAGAGATCACTAGATCTCTTGCGATCGGTCTTGGGCCAAAAGCTAGAGTTGATAGAGAGCTCTTTACAGTAAACCCCCCAAGCTTTGATCCATCCGTAAAGGAGCTCACTGGCAGTCTCTTCCAACGGCTTCTTCCCAGTATGATAGCAACCTACAAGATGGCGTTAGAGTTGACCTTAGTCCACTACACATGCTAATGAGCGCCGCCCGTTGAACGTTCTCGAATTTCTTTGCAAGTGGAGTCTTTTCTAGATCCCACCACCACATAAAGACTTCATGGAACATAATGGGCTTGATAATGGCGTCGTAGAGCGATAGCCCTTTTGTCGGTTCTGTATTCGATATTCGGTTTTCATGAAAGCTTACTATCCAGGATGAGCTCTAGGTATTTCTCTATATCCGCCGGTTGCAAAAGGATGTCTTCAATTTGCGGCAGCGGTGCCACCAGAAGTTCAACTGTATATAGTATGTGATATGTGGCAACTTTGTTTCAAATATAGTATTGGCTACATACCCAATATATAGTTCTCTCTAGGTCATTATGTTAAATATTTTAATAAAATTAAATGAGAATGTCCATCAGCTCAATTGATTAAATTCTTAAGATATCTGCAAAAATATAGGGTGACTAGATAAATTAGAACAAGATGGAATTTTTCGAAATTTCGAATTTGCTTGATAAGTTTCAACTTTATGGTATGTGCTAAAATTAACAACGAACGAAAAATATTTTTCTGCGAGCTGTTTTTTATTGGTATATGTCTACAAATATATCTTATTTAAAGGAAATATAAATTACGTGATTCATTTGTCGGAATCTCCGATATCGAAACACTGTAGTATATAAGTGCGATACAAACTGATTGATCAAAATAACGTCCGTATATGGACAATTATTTTTATTTAAAAAATTTTTATTCTCCGGATAAACCATTCTGATCGAACCGCTATATGATTGACTTACCGACGTTTTCTATCTGGCTGTATAAATATTAAAATTTGCAGCACACAGTTCGCAGTCTATTCGGTCAACATCGCCTTGGTCACCCTGTAGTTCTTTTTCTGTTCCCGTTGTTGCATTGCCAAAAGAAATTCCAAATGCATTTTCAATCGTAAAAACTCAGTTGCATGCAAAGTTAAAAAAATATGTGTTTTGTGTACTGTGAATTAGTGACTCCCATGCGGAGGAGTGAGGGTGTTTTCATCTGATGCAGATTCGGGCAGAATTCAGTGGCAAACAAGGCGCTGTTAGTTGCACTCAATTACGCCGCGCGTATAAAAGTCGACTGAGTTTTTCAGCTTCTTTTATCAGATGGATATTTGCGTGTTGCCATATTGCTTTTTTATCACACATCACACCGCCGGGAACTGAGTTGACCGCAACAGATAACTATTGACCACATGAATGGTAAGAGGATAGATTTCAAAAATACTCATTCAGAAATAGTGCGCCTGTTGCATTCGTTACCATATGTTTGTGTGTGTTATGTGTATGTTGCATGCAATCAAAAGCCTGCCACCGTGAGGCAAAGCGACATTTTTTATGCAACTTTTTTCTACACTCATACATTTGTAGTTTGCCTATCAGTTGTCATTGTGTATCTGTTCTTAACACGAAATAATTGAATTTCTGGTCAGCCTCTCTGCCCCCCGCCAGTAAATTTTCGAAAGAAAGAAACAAAATCAGCCGCCCGATGCACTCAGCAAGCGTGCGGAAAAAATCATAAAATCAGAGTTTCTCCTAAATTCTCATTTATGTATAGCTGAAGGAGTTTTTTTTTTTTTTTGTTTGTTTGTATTTCCCCCCATCAATATCAATTTTTTAGTGCTTTCCAATGCTGCACTTACTGTGCTTTCATTATTATGCGAAAGCGCATATCTGCTGGCATCGAATCAATAAATAAATTAAAATGTTTATTTGAATTGTGAATGACAGCCAAGCGCCTCTGGCCTTTAGATAGCCTTTTAGTGTTTACGTACATGTCGGTAAATATGTTTTTCAAGTTTTTTGTAACTCAACACTAATTCCATATGCGGTGTCATTTGTTGCAGTTGACTGAAAATATTGTGTTTTTCGTTCCATATGGCAGCACCAGCTCGTTGTTGCAATTTTCATTACCGTTAGTATTTATTAAATACTCTAATGGGTAAATTAGTGCGCAAAAAGAAATTTATATTGGAATTTATCAACTATTTAAAAACATTTATAATATTGCAACAAATATGGGAAGTGTGTTCAAAACATAACGGGGACCTTAGTTTAAAAAAAAAAATTAATTTCGTTAATGTTGTCGCCTTTTTATTTTATTCTTGCGTAGACATCGCTTACGCTGATACAGCGCCGATACTCCTGGCGCCGATTCATCAGAAGTTCTCATCGTCCATGTCTCTGCACCAGATATAGATTAGTCGAAGGAGTTCTTTGCGCTCCCAGTAGCACCTGTTGGCATGAGTTATTCTGCGTCAGATTTCGAAGTTGACATTGTTGGTGTTAATACTGGTTCCAACATAGACGAAATTATCTACCGCTTCGAAGTTATGACTGTCAGCAGGTACGTGGGAACCATGTCGTGTGTGTGACGACTTTTGGTTTTATTTTATGATAGCAGATATTTCGTCTTCGTCCCTCGTCCACTATAAGACCTATATTATGAATACTTATTCGATATTATGACTTCTGTCAGCGCTTCTTCCAATCGCCCAAACACTTCTCAACCTCGATTTTTGGAATAGTTTTAGCTAGTTCAGCGATTTTCATTTTTCTTGTAAAACAATAGCCTTTTAAGGTTCTCTTTAGTTTTTGAAATATGAAAAAGTCACACGGAGCTATGTCTCGCATTTCGTTTTTGGACAAAATTTCACTTACGAATTCTTTGATCGATTTATTTTAACAGACGAAAATCGCCAAGCAAATTAAAACAGGTCTAACCTTGTGACATTGTCGTTTCGCAATCGAAATTTGTTGATATATCATAAATTTTCAGGTTTTCAACGACCAAGACGGTCAACGGTACATGGCGAATGAGTTTCGTCTTGACCCGCGTCCAGCATTTTGAATCTCCTCATTACTTTGCGTCGCCTTTTAAAAATTGTTTGTTTTTGTTTGCATATGAAGAGCAATTAAAAAAAGAATAATGGCGATCAACTGAAATATATAAAAATAATCCAATTTGACGGAAGATATTAAAAATAGGTGTCCTTAATCTTACTATTGATTTCCTTTTGTGGAGTTATTAGAAACCGAACTCTAACAGCAATTCTCGGATCATTGGTGAGCTCAAGGCAAATATTTCTGTAACTACTATACAAAGTACTTTGTGAAGCCATAATAAATATAACTCCTGCATCCGATCGACAAAGAACCTTGTGGCCAATACAAATTTGCTGAGGTGTTTAATTTCTGTTCCCACTAGCTCGATGAGTTATCCCAAGTATTTAGAATTTGATTCGCAAACGCGTGACAATCAAGAAGGTAGTATTGAGATGTTTCCATTTGGTCTACTTTCATATAGGTTCTGCAGCTGGCGCCCAGTAAGGTTTTTCATAACTTTGGACCAGAATCTGCGAATCTGCTGTGGTCTAGCATCCAATACACCAATATTATTACAAAATGCCTAGATGACATTGATTAGGTGGTTAGGCATTATTTACACAGTTCGGTTAGTGAACTCAAGTTAGTATTAAGGTTAAACGCGTCTGAGTTTCCTCTGCTCTATCTTTGCCCACGAAAATATTTGTCTAATGTTTATTTTTGATAAATGAAAAATATGTGGCCACATTTTGGCAATTTCATTATATTTCTCTATTTTCTAAGCATGTAGCACACACATTAGAGCAGTTTCAATATCCACAAAGTGGTACGGAACTTACGACCTTCAAATATATGTCCATAAGTTTGTATAAAATTACTGTTATGCTCACCAGGTATCGATTTGCCCAATTCAAGATATTCTCTCACAGAAGGACTTAGGAAATTCGTCGGAATTTCAGGTATATCCTTCTCTTGACTACCGTTCTCTTCATTTTCTAAATCTTGTTGTGGTTCCGGTTCGAAGTTCACCGGTTCTGGGGCACGTGGTCGTTTGGCCCGCTTTGTGCGTGTGGTTTCACTGCAATCTGTGGAAAATAAAAATAAGAAAATAATTATTAAGTAAAGACTTTTTTTTAATTGTGGATGTTAGAATAGGTCGTATGTCTATACAAAAAGTTTGTTGATAAGAAATTGTTTAACAATCGTCAGATTCACAACCTAGTATAAGCGAGCTAAGGTCTCGAGGACATGAAATAGTATTAGTCCGCCCTTAAAAACTATTGATACAACGCAAAATCTGCATAGTTTTCAAACATAAAATAGAATCTGTGAGTAAGTATCTGGTGTGGTTGTTAAATGTATTACCTTGATCCAATTCCAAATGCCTTACTGCATTCAGATATATACAAGTTTAAAGTTGCACTAAAGAACACTAAAGAGAAAGGTACTACTACTCACAAAAACCTTTGCAAAATTGAGGAATTGTGTGTGGTAATATACATCACGAATATATTCTCCTTAAATATGTGGTGATTAATGCATTACATTGTCTATGGGCTCTTGGACAGCTCCAAGAAGATCCGAGGTTTTCGAGCCAAATTCATTCAGTAACCGTCAATGGCGACCGTTACCGGGCCATGACAATCAACTATTTCACACATGTTATTCGCAAGTTGCTACCAGTCGGAATGCTTGAACAAGTCATCGAAAATTGGGCTCAAAGGATGGACCATCTGAGACATTTAAAAATAATAATTTTCAAAAAATAAATGGCAAAGAATATTATTTCGATTGATAATAAACATTCTCCATTAAATTTAAGGTTTCTGTGTTTTTTTTTTCTTTAAAAAAGTAGGGAACCTCGAAATGGTTAACCCTTTATATCGTGTGACTTTGGAACTTGAAGTGTTAGAACTTCTTTCTTTCACTTAAAAATCGGTTCAACTTCCTTAAAACTCTTGTGACTTTTGAATAGTAAGTATACTACATACATACATGAGTATGTTCACTCACAATCAACCAACTTAAAGCTGCTGTTAGCTGAAACTGAATCTCCGCATTTTTTATAATTAATACCGCTAAGTCTTACAACTCTTTTTAACTTCTATGCTAATATGTTTCTTTATTAAAGTTAATAATATTTAAACTTGCTGTTACATAATATTAAATCAATATTTACGAAAAACCATTTGCATTGATTTCTTTTGCATTTTCTCTTCAAATTCGGCCACCACTTAGCGGGCTGCCGTTGCATTGCCTTGTCTTGCCTTGTCTTGCAAGTTGCGAAGTTTTTTTTCATATTTGCTATTGTTGTTTATAGTATTTTATATTTTTTTTTTTTGTTTTGAGTGTCTTTGCGTTTGTCGGCATTTTGTGCAACTGCTACGTACCGCCTTAAACGTAGCGTTTTGGGTGCGCTGGCGCTTTAAGTTAAAGCCGTTGATGTCTTTACCTCTGCCTTGCCGCTGTTGAGCCTGGTTTTCCCGTCTGCTACCGGCTACCAGAGCACACGAAAAATTTTGCACATTGCCATGTAATTTGTGATGTAATCAAGCTTCGTTACTGGAAGTTTAAACAGCAATAACTACAAAATCACTCAAGTAAGCATTGAGTAAGTAATGAGTGAGCGAGTGAATGGCAATGCGCTGAGTGCGTCAATGAATCGGTTATATTTATGTACTCGCGTAGACAGTGTCGCAAAGTTTCTTTTTTATACAGTTCTTTTTAATTATTTTTTCTTTTTACACTCCGCTTGCTGTAGCCCACTGGATGTTGACCTTGTTCGCTGTTGTTGGCGTTTTGCAACGCAATTTTAATTTTTCGTCGAGACCCCCCAAACTCTCTCGTAGTAAATTGCAGCTAAAAATTGGAAGCCGTTGATTGTGACAAGAATTTTCACATGAATTTTATTTTGTGCAAGAAAAAATTCACCACAACTGATTGCCAACAAGGTGAACGACAGTTTGCGTTTTTTTTTTCTACTTTTATGTAATATAAATCGTGGGTATTTATTGGGTTTTTTTTAAGATTGAAACTTCTTGCGTATTCTTTTTCATTGTTTGCTTTGTTAATGATTTTGCAATTTTCCCATTTTTGCCATATTTTCTTTTGATTCTGTGATTTTATAGCTCAAGCTACGCCTTGTTCTTAATTGAGTCTACAATAATGTTATTTGCGTTGATTATTTTGCTGTCGATTTGACAGCGCAACGCTATGTTCGCCCAATTTCAGCTTGGCCTTAACCTTGCCACAAAGTTTCTCTGTTTTGGCGTTCACACTTTATATTTGTTGATTGTCGATATTTTAAATCAATTTAACAAATTTTCAATAAAATTGTTCGTAAAGCAATAATTATTCTCTTTTCTTGCAGGTAAGTCTTCCGTACGAAAAATGCTTGGAGGTTATGTGCTATTGAAAATATAAATACGCACAAAGAAGTAATGAATTCGTAAGTAATGATGTTGATCTTTGAGATGAGAATGACTATAGAAATTATTTAGACTTTATATAAAAAATAGGTATTCAAATTATTTTATCGATATGGAACATCCTTAATACTTAATCTCATCTTTTCGTTCGACAAGAAAAAAATCTCAAAATGTTATCTATTAATTTGGACATTCCCCTGTACATTTTTGCATTATAAACATGCTGAATAACATAAGGAACAAAAGGAACAAGGTACTCCAGCAAATACCTTTTATGGGAGAGGCTGGAACATTCGCGTTCCTCCTATATTATCGTTCTCAACAGAATTGAATTCATATGTTGTACAGTTAAACCTCGAAAGACATATATATAAATTTCGCAGCCGTCAGACACTTGTTTCGTGAGAAATATCAGTTCGAGTGTCCCTCGTTATAGTCTTTTCAAAAAGATGGTAAATAATAGGAATTTGGAGTTTTAACGAATCACTATTTTTTAATTAAAAATATTATTCATACCAAAAATGCCTTAATGACTGTTAACTATAGTCACCAAAGATCGTGGAGATCGAAAATACTGACATATGAAAATATAAATAAAAAAGTTACGAAATGATTTTGAATAGGCGTTAAAAGAGGTTGATCAAGATAGTCGACGCTATAAATTCATTATGACAAAAAAGCACACGCAAATTGTAATTAAATTCCTTCAGTAAATGATATTTAAAAAAAAGTGTATTTTACCAAGTTGGTAGGACTAACTATTTCTCGAGAGCCCATTCCGAATGGTTTTGGGTATGAAACGCGTTTTTCCTCGACTCGTACCAATAAAGCTGCATTTTTTTCGGAAAGAGTAAACAGGTCTCTTTGATCATGCTTAGTCGCACAAATTCCATTATAACTGCGGATGAGACATGGATTTATAAGTTTCACAAGCAAACAAGTCAATAAGCGTCGAAATGGAGGGAAGAAACCTAATTGAAATAGGCGCTCCGTGGTATCTGTTTCATTATTTTGCATTTTATTTACAATTTCCGTGTACTTTTTTGTCAAAATATAATACCCAAGAAAAATGGTAAACACATATTTGGTTCGTATATATTTAGTTTTGCTAAAGTTCTGTTGAAGGTCGTCAAAAAACACTTCAAATTGCTTCCGTATATACCCACCAAGATTGATTTTTTCTTGTCCTCGAACCTTAAGATAATACCCACTGGTAAGAAAGCACCTATACAAAGGCCCGTTTTTAAACTGTCAATAAGTAAGCTTATTTTACATAATACGGGATTTTTTTTTTTTTTAATATTTCCTTAAGAATTTTTACCCACCCCTATATACCCACAACCAGTGTTTTTGCTGAGATTACTTCTTATACGGATATTCAAATTCATCTAATTTTTAAATTCTTTTTGTTTTTAAATTCCAAATCTTGTTCAAGTGAAATATTTATACTGTTCCTTTAAGTTAGGAAATAGTTACACCTTTAACGTTCTATAGATAATTACGAGAGATAATTTTAACGCAATTGAAACTGTTACGTATATACCGTCGCCTATAAACATTTTTGTACACTTTTGAGGCTAATCGTTTCGAAAGATCGTTGCAAAAATATCTTGTCACGGGACTTGTTTTTAAGGATATATTTATTGTAGCCTGGCTGAAAATAAGTGAAAAAAAAGCATATTTTAGGATTCAAAGAGCCATGAATGCACACATTTTAATTCTGTGATTTGACTACCGATGTTATTTTAAAAATTGGGTTCAGGAAATGTGAGAACAACTTCGTGAGGCTTTTGAATTGTATGAGACCTTTTTTATGACAGTTGTTCTTATAATTATAAATTTGATTATTTATTGATGCCTATGCTATGCTTCGAAACGACGCGTATAGTCCACTATAAACCTGATAGTTTTCGTTTAGAAAAATTGCTTCAAATCTTGTAAAAAAAAATTTGGTTTATATTGAGAGCGAAGCCAAAACAATTTCTTTCGTTTTTTCTTTTGCGAATTTAAGCAATATGAAGGGAAGTTTATTAGTCATGAAAAAAAGCGCTTAAGTGCACTTTATACCGCCTTCATTAGTCTAAGTATTTTTGAGTTTGTTCATTACTCCTATCATTTGACACAAATCGGGTAAAACTCTGGTAAACCATCTTTTCATTTGTTTTTTTTTAATATTTTGTTCACATTGAAAATCAAATATTGTTAAACTTTTCTTGTCCACGCATTAAATTTTACTTCGACAGCTACCGGTTAGCCAACTGTTGTTCCCTGTCAGTCATTGTTCAATCTACATATATATAGTATATATCATACTTTTTATTTGCATAAAAAACCACAGGTGGGCAACGGCTAGCCTCCTATTATTTTATACAGTTATGCAAATAATTCAAACTTTTTAATGTGCACCTCGTCGAACTTCCATTTTGCATTCCACGTAATTTTACCGTTATCAAATGGGTATCGAAAATAAAGCATAGAGTATATCAAATGGACACGACAAGCAGCTGCATGCTGGATTTTGTTCTATTTATTTTTTATACTCTTGCAACATGTTGCTAAAGGGTATAACAGTTTTGTTCACCTAACGATTACATGTATCAACTAAAACTAATCGAGATATATATAGGGTTGTACACATACTTATATATAAATAATCA